CTGTAGGGAGTGCAGGACTCTGAAGAGATTCAGGGGAGGCTCAGTGAGTGAATGTAGAAAAATTAGTTATTATTAGTTATTTATCAGATTGTCTTAATGTTTGTGGCACTATATAGTTTGTGAAAAATAGAGTGAGTTCAGAGACACTGTAGATTTGTGGGTTTTTACTTTCCCGACTTTCCAGGGGTCATAATTCAATAAATGCCTTAGGACAGATCTTTTTATTATTTATTTGGTTCAGTCTGAAGTTATGTCAAACAGCAATATTACGCTGTCTTCGCTCATTTTATTTAGTGTCTTTGGTAACAAATAGCAAAACCATGCTAATGTTGGGTGTTATTTTTCCAGACTATGTCTGAGGGGAGGCCAACAGTCTCATTCTTTGAATACCCCTGTAATAAAAAAATATTTATTTACATTTTATAATATAATTGCTGAACAAAAGCATAAACATGTAATATGCAAAGTTATCTGGAAAGCAAGGCTCAGTGAAATAAGAAAGTAAGAAGTGAAGATGGTATTTGTTAAATCTTGTTTGGTATGTGACTACTGTGCTGGCCCCATTTAAGTGAAGGCAAGTTTAGATGAAGAGCGACAAATCACTTTGACTTCAATAATCTTCAGGCTGTTCATCTGGTGTTTGCAACTACTGTATACATTAACTCACATTTTACAGCAACCCAAAATAGCTGCCTGAAGTGATCCTTTGTCTGTGGCCAGGCTCAAATCTGCTGGTTCCACATCCTCTGCTGAATAGACAGTGCTGCACCCCGACCTCCCTCCTTCATCTCCATTGGACCATTCAAAGATAGTTTGAAGTGTGTAATACATGAAGACCGCTGAATCTTACGACCTCGGCATTTTTTTGCTGACAGCAAAACCTCTAAGCCTTTTACAGTACACGCTTCAAAATGTACTGTAGAGCAGAACTGTACGTTAAAGAATAAGGCCTCTGTATTCGATGTAAGCACATGGTGTGAAGCGCCTGGCGTTTTGAGGGCATTCAGGGCGTGTCCCAATCCACTTTTGCTTCTTTGACGGTGGAAAAGAGGCTGCATGTTTTGAAAAGCACTGCTCTTATAGTCTGGATGTGTTTTTGGGCGTAACATGTAATGAACCAATGAACTAATTTCCATAAAAGCTATTGAGAGGTCCAAAAGAATCTTTTGTCTACTGTCACTGTAAAGGTACAATGGAATTTTGTGTGGCGCAACAGATGCCTTTGACCCAACACCCCTCCCACACTCCCCCCCACACACACACACACACACACATGACATGAGACTACAAATTAAAGGATCAAGTATAAAATATAAGTTATAAAAACATAGAAATAGGATAAAAATACATGTAAAATACATATATAGAAGGAATCAAAATAGAGTTGTTATAGACAGTGATAACCCGCTCCTGTTGTAAATATAAAGTATTTCAATTTTATGGTAAAGAAAGCAACAATTCATATAGTTAAGACAATCACACACTAGTGAGTATTTTCTATTTAATTTCTGTCAGTAATGTAGATAACATTACACCCTGAACCTTTATAAGAGCAGTGTTTCCACTGTCACAAGGAGGTGCAGTTGAGAAACATCTGTCTGCTGCAGAACTGTATTGCATCACATGCTGTTTAGATACTTGAAGATAGAGTGGGAAAACTAATCAAACTATGCGTGTTGCAGGATGCCATGTTTCAGAATCAGCAGTAATTAGGAATCATTACTAATAATTACTCATTACTTTTAAGTAATTAGTGCTGAATTAGGGGGGGGGGGGGCTGACCTGTGATTTCTTCATACATATTATTGTAAAGAGAAATGAGCAGAATGTAAGATGCTTTAAAGCCTCATAGAGCTGAGGGGAACTACAGAGTCAGATGATTATCTACTGGGGGGTCGTCACTACAAGCTATGGAGCCCCCAAAGTAAATGTAATATTTGTGTAAACTGTGCATATTCATCTCATCTATTGTTGTTGCTATGCTTTGCTGTTGTTCCTCATTCTCCGTAAAAACCTCAGAGAAACAAAGTCTCTAAAAACTAATTTATTGTATTTACCTTCATCTTTCATGATTTCACAACTCACTTTACACCTTGTATTTTATTTGTGCCGCAGTTATTATTCCCACTTGTTTTTACACAGTATTATCTCCATATCATGCTCTTCTTCCTCTTGTTTTACTATTTCTGCTTCAGAACCGGCTGCATGAATTACGTTTGCATGAATGCTGGGGGTTCGGATAACTGCTGTGGTTCTTGCTTGAGACACAGTGGAGGCAGAACAGAAGTGACATATACATGATCGATGCAACCACTGAAAGACCCAGAACTCCTACACGACAGGAAACTAAGTCCTGCTGGATCGAAACATACAGACAGTAGTCATTATGTGATCTGTAGAAAAAAAGCACAAGAACAAACTCCTGAGTGAGTGGGTGGATATGTTCATCGTGTGAGATGTAACCACGAGGCCGAACCCAACCCACTGCCAAAGTGTTGGAATGACATATTGTTTGATGAAATACATGTCTTCAGTTGCATCACGTTGATACAGTCGTTACAAAAGTAAGATTTCAGTTACTTCCCGTCTTTCAAAGGCCCTGCGAGCAGGAAGCGCGTGGCACCATCGCGCCGTAGGCAGATCGCCGTACGATATGTTTGTTAGCGTGTTAGCATTCTGATTAACGGCCAGTTGGTGCCCTGCTTCGGAGGTCTAATCTGGCCTCACGCCTCACTGCACGTGCTCAATAGAGTCCGCACCCTGCATCATGACATCATGTCTTTGTGTGAAATCCCGGTGCCATTCACGAGCCCACCATGGGGCTTAGCATGCAAGCGTTCACTATACCAACACGCTGCTCTTTAAAGGGAGTCCACTGGTCCCCCAGGTCAGTGGATACACCCTGATGCCTCCACAGAACTCTGAACATGGCTTCCATCCTCAGACACAACGGGCCCAGCCCATGTGCCATCCGGGGCCCAGAGGAGAGCTAATGTTCAGGTTTTTGCCATGGGGCCATTTTTTTATGAGGAGATATAATTGCTCCTGGATATTTTCAGACACTAGTTCTGAGCATCCAGTCAGATAAGAGAAGGAGAAACTGAAGCTAATGATTTGGGGACATTGAACATGGCAGGATAGTGTGGGCAGACTTCAAGAGGTGGACTTTCTACTTCAGCAGCACAGTGATGTCATCCAGGGCTGAGAAAATGCTATTGGTTGAAAGAATGAGGGAGCGCTGTAGCCAGAGTGGAGACATGTCCATAAAAGGAATGATGACTTCTATTGATCAATTGATTTTGATACAAAGTCCTTGTTGTATGAGTTCACGCCAATTATCTATTTCACAAATTGGAAAAGAAATATTGAACATAAATAAACGATGAGGTGTTTCTTTTTGTTGCCTCTACATTTTCATATTAAAATGGTCACCATCTTTAGCAAATGGAATTCATACTTAAAGGGCTGTAATTAAAAGTCACCCTGAGACATAATAACTTTTAACATTAACATTTGATGGGAGTTCAGTTCCAATCTGGAAATGCCAGTAAATCACACACATGCACATTAGCCTTCAAGGAAATTGTCATTGTTAAAAACTCTTCCACTACATGACAAAATCCTGGCTCTGTGAACACGAAACAATCGTGGAACCTGGAAATTACACAGGAAGTGAGTTGTGTGACTGTAAATAAACTGTCTGTCCCTGACTGCCATGTAATTGTTGTGTTCTTTCCTTTCATTCGGTGAATCAGTGTTATACCAGGACTGCAAGTTTTCAAACAATTTCTATAACCGACCAACAAAAGATTTCTTCAAATAAACTTTTCAAAAGCCTACGTGTGTTTTATGACAGAAGAAGAAAATGTTGACATAGAGAAATCACATTGTTGAGACACAGCATGTGTGAGTTTTTTGTTAATTTAATAACATTTAATATTTTAAAACTCGATGTGCTGTGTTTAAATGATTGTGATACCATCATACAGAAACATTGTAAACATTTTTCATGTCAAAACAATGAACATCAGTATGAAACCATGCATCACTATAGGTGGCTTGGATGAGTAGAAATTATTATATAATTATTAGTATTTAGCTCGTTTATGTACAATAAACTTTATTAAAAAATGTTTTCAATCACTCATTATGAAAGTGGATTATTCAGGAAAAGAAAAGAAAAACAAGTTCAAACTACAGAAAACTAAATACAATTAAAAGTTTGTTGGGCTATGTAAATCTTTCTAAAACATCTAACTTTAACGAGTCAGAACATTTTGTTCAAATGATTTCTTCTTATATATATATATATATATATGATTATAGTAAGCTAAATTGTTACACAATTAAAAATCATTTGATTCTAAATTATCACATGCATAATAACGTTGATGTCACTTCAGACACATGACAGTACATATTTAAAAGACATGAATTGTCAGGTGATGAATCATGAAGCTGTGCACTTCAGAGCCACAGAGTCAGGATGTCACGTCACGTTCACACATTTAAAGGTTTCTGTTGTGCAGGAGTTAATATGAACTAATGAATGTAGTTGTGCAAACCTGGAGCTCATTTCATAGTTTGGGAGATTTCCACAGCGGAAACCTGGCAGAGGTTTTTCTCCTCACTTCAAACATCTGTGGAATACTTCAGTGATCAAAGTTTCCTGCTGAAATGTTTTTCTTTCCTGAGCTGGGAAAAGTTTGACTAACATCCCTGATAGGGACATTTCAGTTTGTCCTTTCACTCAATGGTTCGCATTCTTCACATTCCAGCTGAGTGACACAGATATGATGATACACACACACACACACACACACAGACGCACACACACAAAGGTAGAATTGAGTATCTGTGTGAAAATGTGGAAACTCACGTTTGATAGTACAGACTTGTTCTGATGCCACAAATATAATGTGCTTTTTTTATTAGCAAAAGATCCCAATTAATACAAAAATAAAAATAATAAGCACAAACGATCAAAAAGTTTTGATTTCAACTCAAAAAAACTGACAAAATTAAAGACAAATAGTAATGATCTACTGTATAATACATATAAGAAGAGCTGGTATTCTTCTTTTGGCTATTGAGGTTTGCAGATCCAGATTTATGAGGACAACAATGTGTGAAATACGTGATATGGGAGAGTTGGAAGACTGAAATTTGAAATGGTTCAACAATATTCAGGTGCATGGATAATTAAACATTTTAAAGGGTAATTGGATTGTGTTGTGTTTAAGTTCATTATCTGAGTCTCAAACAGCTGGACAAACTATTGAATTAGTATTTAGCCTGAATTCTCCAGTACTGTGTTAAAAGATTTTTAGCGTTTGTTTGTCTCTGATTTAAAGATTTGGTTGTGGACATAAAGGTCTGAACATCTTATTGTGAAAATCATTCAAATTCATTTTAGATCTATTGCAGGTGGAGCTTTATGAGTGACTCTATAATAAAACTTGATTCATTAATATATATAATTTTAAAAAATCCTGAACTGAGTATTTGTACAAACAACTATATCCAGGGTTAATTCACAAGGACGTAAACTCTCCTTCATTCCTCCCTGAGTCGGTAGTCTGCCGCTGACCTGCCTCTCTGCTTTAATGTTGGGCATGTCAGTGAGGCCAGAGGCGCATCTGCTGCTGTTGTTTCACCGTCCATGTTTCTACATACCATATACATACGTATAAGGATGTTGCACGCATGCAGTTGCACTGCTCTGCTGTGGACCCGCTGCCCCGGCAGTACAGTGTCCATGTTGGTGTGGGAGCCTGAGGCCTGCTCCCATACATCCCCGCTCTGGCTCTGTTGATCCTATTGTCTCCTGCGTCACCACACGTCGCCCGGCAAATAAAGGCCGTCTGGCTCCAAGCTTAAATATTGCAGCAAACTAAAAACCAACCATCAGAGCCGATTCATTCACATCTGCTCAGTGGGGCGACAAGGACAGGGCTTTAGGTGGGAAAGAGGACAGAAAAAAGATCACTTTTCCCTGCCGGGTGCCAAGAGAACGGGACAGGACTCAACTTCGCCGGAGCCGCAACTGTGGCAAGTTGCCCATTTGATTACATTTCACCTTTATCATACTTTACACATGATGGGATTATATTTTACACATTGATCTCTCTTTAGTGGTTTTCATTCACAAGTTGTTTTGTTTGTTTTTTTTCAGAGCTATAGAAACAACTTTTTTTTGTTCGCACTTTTGTAAATGTTCGACAAAGTTATTAAGGTTTGCAGAGAGAACAAGCAGCGTAATAAAGGTCTTGTTAAAAGTTTTGATTTAATAAATTAGATTTTTTTTATCTTGCAACAGAAACAGAATCGACTCAAAAGCCTTTTAAAACTTGTAAAAAGTTTCAGATTCTTCGGGTTCTCTTTTACGAAAATGTGCTGTAGCAAGAAATTCAGGCTTGGGTTTGATTTTTTTGTTTTTTCGAGCTTTCCTCTCCAACATTTCTTACTTTTGGAAATCTCTATTCCCCTCCCCCTGTCTGTCCCACCTACCCCACCCTCCCTGTCCGTGTGCACCCTCCATCTCCCTCCATACCCCACCCTTCATTCTGCAGTGCTACGGACCGATCATGGGTGACTGGAGCTTTCTGGGTAATATTTTAGAGGAAGTTAACGAGCACTCTACGGTGATCGGCCGGGTGTGGCTCACGGTGCTCTTCATCTTCCGCATCCTCATCCTGGGAACGGCTGCTGAGTTTGTGTGGGGCGACGAGCAGTCCGACTATGTCTGTAACACACAGCAGCCTGGTTGTGAGAACGTGTGCTACGATGAGGCCTTCCCTATCTCCCATATCCGCCTGTGGGTGCTGCAGATCATCTTTGTGTCCACACCTTCTCTGGTGTACGTGGGCCACGCTGTGCACCATGTCCACATGGAGGAGAAACGTAAAGAGCGCGAGGAGGCAGAACTTAGCCGGCAACAGGAGCTGAGCGAGGAGCGTCTCCCTCTGGCACCCGATCAGGGAAGTGTTCGCACCACGAAAGAGACCAGCACAAAAGGAAGCAAGAAGTTCCGGCTGGAGGGAACTCTGCTGAGGACCTACATCTGCCACATCATCTTCAAGACACTGTTTGAGGTTGGCTTCGTGGTGGGCCAGTACTTCCTGTATGGCTTCCGCATCCTGCCACTGTACAAATGCAGCCGCTGGCCCTGCCCCAACACGGTGGACTGCTTTGTGTCCCGGCCCACGGAGAAGACCGTCTTTATCATCTTCATGTTGGCCGTGGCTTGCGTCTCCCTCTTCCTCAACTTTGTGGAGATCAGTCACCTCGGCCTGAAGAAGATTCGCTTTGTGTTTCGTAAGCCTGCCCCGGCCCAAGGTGAGGGCACGACGCCCCTGCCGCCACAAGTGAAGAGCCTGCCCCCCCTGGCTGTGTCCTCCCTGCAGAGAGCGAAAGGTTACAGGCTGCTGGAGGAGGAGAAAGCTCCCCCCTTAACTCACCTCTACCCGCTGGCCGAGGTAGGCATGGAGGCCGGCAGAGGGGCCCCACCCTTCCAGGGGCTGGAGGAGAAGGCGGAGGAGGCGCTGCCCATGGATGACATCTCTAAGGTGTACGATGAGACTCTGCCCTCTTACGCCCAGACCACTGAGACAGCGGGGGTGACATTACACGAGGAGGAGGCCGAGAAGGTTCAGCCGGCGGAGGTGGAGGCAGAGAGGGTGGTGAACAGGGAGGGGGTAACTCCTGCAGAGGTGGCGTTGGAGGCCTCGGATACGATAGAAGACACCAGACCGCTGAGCCGACTGAGCATAGCCAGCAGCAGGGCCAGGTCAGACGATCTCACTGTATGAACCTGTGAGAGAGAAAGAGAGAAAGAGAGAGAGAGAGAGAGAGAGAGAGAGAGCGCATGTACACCTGCACACGCAAAATGTTCAACATAAGAGAGCACACACACACACACCTAACTCAACGATAACGCACACTCTTGAACAAGCAGGTCAAAAACTAAGTGGATGAAAAACAAATATGAACAGGGAGAAAAAAACCTTTGAAACAGGCAACAATTCTACCAAGTGACAAAAAAATCTGAGTGTTTGTGATAAAAAAATATATATGAAAAGTAGAAGTTACAAGGGGAGGAGTAGGTTTTTTTATTAAGCGTGTTCTTATATTTAAAAAAAATGTGAAAAGGACACATGCAGGTGGGAAATGTTTTTACTTGACAAAAATCCATGTTCAATTTTTAAAAACATCTTTTTCTATTGAAAGAGTTTTAATCATAAACGATGGAGGATAGACATTTTTACACGGGGTTTAAAGTAGGTAGGGAAAAGAGAGGTACGATATATTTGTGTGTCTGCAAACCAGTAATTTGGCTGTTGCTGGGCACTGACTTTCAATCCCCTTCACACGGAGGCCTTCTGCAAATGCAGCATGCCGCTTCGAACGTTGCGGGTTAGAGGGCTCTCGCATAAACGAATCATGCAATTAAGTGCCGCTACATTTACAAGTAAACAGCCTTTTGAGGAGAAGAAGAAAAGTATTTTTTCAGGCTGAGAAGCGCGTTCCTTTTTATTTTTTGTTGCCCATTCCAAGGTTTAGACTCTGTACAAGGCCTTTGACCCTCATAACACCTCATCTATGCATCCGTTTACACAGGATTCTTTCAAGTGAAGAGAGATGTGCATGAATTTCAGAGCATTTCTCTCCTTTTCATGTTTATATACCAGGTAGCACAGCCAGAGCTGAGTTAGCGAGGAAAAAAAGACCACATGTTGAATGTCTTTTTTTCAATGTGAATCTCTTCATTTTAGATTTGCTTCTATTTTGTTGCTTTTTGAGTCGAACTGTTGCGCTGTGATATCAGTCGTCTGTGGAAGAGAGCGGGGCTCATTTCGCCCTATCAGAGAATGAACTATAGCAGCGACCTCAGGCCAAATCCTCTCTTTTCGCGCTGTGCAAACACGCGTCCGGGCGATAACGATCACGCACCATCAGCACAAAGTATTGATGGAGGCGAGACAATAAAAGAAACCGTGCTCATCAATGAAAACAAGCATCCTTGACCTGGCTGTGGAAAAAAAAATCTTTCCACTTGATTTTGCGTGACCACATAGTTGGTCCTTATGCCCCTGCGAGAAAACACAACAGTTGTGACATGCTGTTAAATTCAGAGAGAAACAAAAAAACTATAGTGACAACTCCCCCCCTGTACATAAAGCCCTATCTCGTGTCTAATAATGTACATAATGTTGCTGAACGGCTGTTTTTAGTTATTTTCACTGTCTATAGAGGAATCACAAAAGGTTTTAATTGTGAACGCAAGACTGATTGAATCTCACAAACTCAATAAAGACAGAAAACGCCCATGCCGTGGTATCTTGCATCTATATCTGAGAATTTCTTTTAAAGTAATGAGCAAATATTTTCACAACACAAAGTGCATTGAGCCTTGAAGTATGCCTTACATTTATGACAGATCTTCCTCTCACGTTCTCTGGCTGTGTTTTTTTCAAACAGCTGCCACTGTGCGATTTCTCATGTGCCTTATCTGTAAATGTAAGACGACAAATGTTGTACGATTGTAGCAAGTGGTTCTATTGCTCTGGGACTAAATGTGACTGTGATGTTTTATTTGCTATTTTTTTAAATCTAAAATTCATTCCTGTAAGCGACCCCCACCCCCACCCCACCCCCACGAAACCCACACACACACACACACACACACACAGAAACCTGTGTCTATTATGCAGCTCTGATATTTAAAAGAACAAATATTTAAAATACAACCCTGATAAATCAATCATGTTGAGAAGATACTTGTGCACAAAGTTTTGCAGGTTTGAACACACAGTGCAAGCTTATGCTCACACAACTGCCTTTGTGCACACAGACACACTCATACAAACACACACGCTGCACAGTGTTGGTTCTGGGGGTGTGATCAAATGGAGAAACTCTAAGAGAGAAGGCAGCTTTGACCCCTATGTGACCCCCTGCCATCCCTTTGCCTCCCATAATCCATTGCTGTGGAACCTGAATTAAAGCGGCTTCGATGAATCACCAGATTGTTACATTTAATACATTAAAGCATTTAACAGTGTTTCAACCAAAGCGTGACGCTGGTCCTTGTGTACACCAATATGACTGGTGACGTATGATTTTTTGTATATGACTATTGCATTGCCTGTATGTTTGTAAGAAGACAAGATTAATCTTTTGGAAAGAAAAAAAAAACTCTTTTTACTAACTTGTAGTCTTCTTTGCTGATAGATGTGTGGCAGTATCTTCTTTTGGAATGTGAACCAACGCAATAAAAAGTCACACGTGGTCTAGAAGTGTTGTGTCAGTGTTTCTCTGCAAAACACACACACACACACACACACACACACACACACACACACACACACACACACACACAGACACAGACACATATTTTATTNACACACACACACACACACACACACATATTTTATTTGAGTTTTTGAGTCTTATTTTAACCTGTAGTAATTCATCATGATTTATAAGCTTTTATTTATTTTCTATTAATAAATAGAATCTGCAAATGTACCACTGACCAAATGTAAAATAGTAATGTAGTTGGGTAAAAAGAACATAAATTCAAGTGTATTAGAGCTAATCAAGTAAAGTAGAGGTACTTCAATAAAGTAAATGTGATTGATTACTCCCACCACTGACTTCTACTCAACCTAGATTTTTAAGAACAAGCACATTTCTGTTACTCCTGAAATAAACATGTTATTATCTGCCCATGCAGGGGGAGCTGTGTCTAAGCACCAGTGATGGAGGAAGTAAACATTTCACTTCACTAAAAGTACAAATAAATAGACACAAATGTAGTAAAGTTAACGTATAAGTGCAACATTAACTTTTCTACTTGAGTAAAAGAAAGTAAGTACTTACTTTCTTCATATACTTCAGGCTTTAAAAGTAGGTCAGTACTTCCGGTTTTTTCAATATACTTCAAGCATTAAAAGTAAAGGTACTTACCAAGTGTGGTGGGCCTCAGCCTCCATCTTAACGTTTCTCCTCCATGCTGCTGCTGCAGGAGGGGGGGTCTTACGTTACCTGCCTGCTCTGATTGGATCAGTGGATAAACTCCCATCTATGGTCAAACACATTTACAATTTACAACGTAAACTGTTGCACCAACATTAAAAACACCTCATGTGTATAGATTTATTCAGCTGACTTAATGAAACATATTTTCTTAGAACGTGTAGAAATAGCTATTATGAATGGGGTTATAGGGTTTTTAAGTGTCACAGCTGATTCTTGAGAAATGAGGAAAGTGGTATATGATCAAATCACCACCAAGGGGCAGTGTTGTACTTTTATTCCTGGATTCTTGGTTCCAACATTGACTTTATTTCGGTATTTTTGGCTGATTTAATATGTGCAACCCACATGTGCAGAATATGACTAAGAGTGTGTTTGTCTGAGAAACAGGATCAGTTTGTTTTAATTCCACTGAACTCTTCTAAGTGCATGTCTCATCCAACTGTTGTCCATGTGTCACTCGGTTTTAAAAACAGTTTCCAAACAAGGAAATTACCTTTCTATAGTTACATCCCCCAGCATCACGTGACCTCTGTTCAACAGCTCAGAGATCTCTTTACTCATGTTCCTCATTTTACAAGAAAAACCCACAGCACCTTACAGACGACCAGTCACACTGACAACTGGTAACATTCACTGGTCTTTTGAATATATAATGTGTAAGAATTCTTCATTAAAATGTCTACAACCAAGTCACTTATGTGGCCTACTCACCCTCTCTCCAACCCACATGAAGTGTTCATGTGCTCATATAAAGTATAACCCCGCCCATATCCTATGTGACCTTCTTGCTGACGATGATCACAAATCAACAATAAAAAAGAACTAACACCCCGAAATACAAACACATTCCACCTTGTTTCATAACCAAAATAATAATGATAATATTCCTCTTAGACTTATTCGTGGCTCCTACATCAAATCTTGATATATTCTTTGAATTTGATCAGTCTTTGCTAGACCTTTGGTATTGGTAACTTGTGCTCCTCATGAAACTGGGTGTGTCTATGTGCACACTGTAATGTGACTGCTGAAAACAGAAGAGCTACTGTTTGAGGTTGCCAAAACATAACCCTCCAGACCAGATGGCTCCATGAAACAAGCGTGCAAGAGGAGTTTCTGTCGTCTGTCAGGAAACAAACTCGTTTCAGTTTTATTTGATGGGCTGGATTCATGATATATCTCATTTTCAAATGTTGGTTTGCATTTTCACGAAAAGGAAAGAAAAACATGTAATGTGACCTAAGGCCTCTCATAGTGCTGAGGTTACAAGAACAAGATCAGCTTCATTTCTGCAGCCTTCAACACCTGCACAAAAAAAAAAGAAAAAAATTCTTTACTCTGACAGCCAGCAAAGCTAAAAAATGTGCTTCCTGTATGGAAACAATTCTGCTGTGTGTACAGTGTGTGTGTGTGTGTGTGTGTGTGTGT